TAGTCGAGTGGTGAATCTTATTTTGTGAATATTTTGGAAACTAATTAGTGGAGAATAAAATGTTGTAAAAATTGTGAAAATGCTCTTTTCTGGAATTGAAGTAATGAATAAGGTTCATCATGGAATATTTCGGCGATGAGAAATTTCTGGAGAGAACATTCACATATACTTTTCGTAGAGAATTTTACTCAAATGACTGATTCTTAAATAAATGAATTTCAACGAAGTCGAATAGAAAAATTATATTGTTAATTTCCCAAACATCCCCTAAACCATTGAATTTATCAGAAAATGTCGGGAACTTTTTTTTTAATCTTGAAATTTTCAACACAATAATTTCCCGATATTTTTTGATAACCCCATTAGTTTGGTAGCTACATTTGCAAAAGAATTATAGAATCTCACCACTAAACTACATAATAAAAATAATTTTTGTTTTATGTTAACAAAAAGATGGGGTAGATGTGCAGGTTATTCGTCTCACAATTTTTTCCACATAAACAAAAATGTAAAAACATACAAATGTGTCAATTAGCCCGATAAACCATGGGTGTAATTAATTCTCTCGAATATACTCATGAATCGAATCGTCAATTATCAATAATGATCAGTATTATATACACATATTTTTCGATTGGATTACGTAGTCGAGTGGTGAATCTTATTTTGTGAATATTTCGGAAACTAATTAGTGGAGAATAAAGTGTTGTAAAAATTGTGAAAATGCTCTTTTCTGGAATTGAAGTAATGAATAAGGTTCATCAGGGAATATTTCGGCGATGAGAAATTTCTGGAGAGAATATTCACAGATACTTTTCGCCGAGCATTACAAAAATCATATTGTTAATTTTACAAATAACTATACCCTAAACCACTGAATTTATCAGAAAATGACAAAACTTTTTTTTAATCATGAAATTTTCGGCACGAAACGTCTCCCGATTTTTCGATAAACCCATTAGTTTGTTAAATATTGACAAAAGAATTATAAAATCTCACCACTAAACTACACAATAAAAATAATTTTTGTTAAATATTAACAAAAAGGTGGGGTAAATGTGCAGATTATTCGTCTCACGAATTTTTCAATACAAATAAAAATGTAAAAACACAAATGGGTCAATTGGTCCGGTTAATCATGGGTGTCGTTAAATTTCCTCGAATATACTCATGAATCGAATCGTCAATTATCAATAATAATGAATATTATATACACGTAAGGAGGAAGTCAATTATAACAACCAGCCAGCAGTAAATCTTTGGGCATTGAACGTAAAGTAATAATTCATATAATAATTTACTCTTGGACGCAATCGCGAGGCGTTCCACACAACCTTGCATTACTATTCTTGTTTCAGTAGAGAATTGGTAAAAGGTCACGAGTTGAATAATTCAATATTGATTCCCAGATTTTTCCCCGTGAAAAATCCCCCGAATAATTTTTTCCCAGAAAAATTTGTCGCAAGAAAAGTTCTCACGTCCCCGAGAAAAAAACCCATGTGAAATTTGCCTGGAAAATATTAAATTAGACATATATTTTTTAATACAGCATCAATCATCGTTATTGAATGTAAAACAAATCAATTTATTTTATTAAGGCCCGGGTGTACTGTCCTTCGAACGTTATCTCGATTTTTTTTTTCATCTTTCGTCATCTGAAATTGTCAATTAAGTCCTGCATCATGCAGAAGTTTTGAAAAATTATGAATGAATAATCAAAAGAAAGTAGAAAATATTCTTAATTTTTTTAAAGAGCATTTTTAATTTATTTTCAGAATAAGTTGAATAACAAGAAATTGTAAAATGTATCTGATTTACGGTGACAAACGGCGGCCTGGGACCCAATATCGTGCAGGGGGAAGACTGATTTCGTAAATCTTTTCCCACACTGCACAGAGACATTTATTACGGAAAAGGTTCTTTGAAAAATGTTGTAATATTTTGGAGAATTTTTTAATCACACTTTTATCACATAAAAATGGCAGATGACTACATGCCACTGTTTTGAAAATTGAGATACCTAGCTGTCACTTCCCATGAGGAGTTAGTGTTTTGTCATCCACCATGGAAAATGACAGCTAATAGATACTTTGCCACAGCGAATCTGATATTTGTAATTTCCCCTTTTTTCAACTCATTCTGAATCTCAATTAAAAACGCTCTTTGAAAAAGTTCAGAATTTTTTCTATTTTTTCTGATCATTGTATCATAATTTTTGGGAATTTCTACATGATGTACCACGCAATTGACAATTTTGGATTACGAAAGATGAAAAAAATTCAGATAACATTCGAAAGATAGAACACCCGGGCCTTAAAATAAGAAAAAAAAAATCAGAAATTGATGCGTTTTATTATTAAATCGCATTGAATTTAAAATTTACGTATCAACATTGGTCGGTAACCAACGAATTGATTAAATCATCGTGAATAAAAAAAGATGATTTTTATCAACTTTTTTATTTTTTCCCTTCTAAGAAAAAAAAAAATAAATTTAATTATCATTTCCTGAAAAAAAAAACTCCAAGCAAAATCTCACAAGGAAAAAATTAGTAAAGAAAATCAATTTCAAAAGGAAAAACGAATTGGTTGGGGAAAAATTCATGATGAAGATCATGAACTACTCTTGTTAAATTCAACTCGTTACGCTTTACCTCTCCCCCACTGACTCCATCACAACCTAAATAAGTTTCAGTTAAATTCAATATAATTTATATTCATTCAATTAATCATTACTACTAACACTACTTAAGCTAAGTATCAGTTAATCCTCGTGTTTCAGTGTCAATCAAAGGATTGTCACAAATAAATAACAAATTCATGTCGAAATGCTATTCCGTTTCTACCGAAATTAGCAAAGAGATTCATCTTCCTATTCGTCATTATACCTTCGTTCATGATTCTCGCAATGTAACTATTCTTTATATGGCAACGATGTTTGAATTATTAGATTTATTATTCCTCGAAGCTACGTAATTATGAATGATAATTAACATTGCATCGCTGCTTATAGGAGCAACGTACAGAAAGCTGTACAATTAATTTATTACTCTAGGCAAATTACTCCTATTTGTTTAATCAGTGAAGTGGAGAGCAGATGAGGCGAAAAATGACATGTACATGGTTTTTATTCAGAAAATGTGGGTAATTATCGGTGATGAGTGAAAATGAAAGGACTATTTCAATAAAAATCCTAAATTTACGGTTTGAAAAATCGAAAATGTTCGTTAATTATGCAAAATGCGCATAATTTAATAAAAATCCTAAATTTACAGTTTAAAAAATCAAAAATGTTTGTTCATTATGCAAAATATGCATAATTTAATAAAAATCCTAAATTTACAGTTTAAAAAATCGAAAATGTTTGTTAATTATGCAAAATATGCATAATTTAATAAAAATCCTAAATTTACAATTTAAAAAAAATGAAAATGTTTGTTTATTATGGAAAACGAGAAATAATCTTTCTGTGTAGCTCATGAAATTCTCCACAAAAAATATCTCTTGACATTTTCCCCAACCCGATTAATTCTTCAGACATCCTCAAATAATCTCCATAACAATTATCAACTCATCATCCGTTCCACTTCATTTTAATCTTTCAAAATTACGATTCGAAATAATTCCCGAAAAATTCCACTATTCCATTCCATTTTGTTTGTTTGATATGATACAGATAGAGAGAGATCGAGACGAAAGTCTCATCAGTGTTGATTTATCGTAAAAGCAGTTACAAAAGAAGAGAAAAAAAAATTCCGCTTTGGTTCCATATTTTCATCGGTAAAGTTTATAGAATGGTTGTTTATAGGAGCAACGTACAGAAGGCTGTGCAATTAATTTATTACTCTAGGAAAATTACTCGTGTTTGTTCAATTGGTGAAGTGGAGAGAGGAGATGATGCAAAAAATGACTTGTACATGGTTTTTATTTAGGAAATGTGGGTAATTATCAGTGACAGATGAAAATGAAAAGACAATTTTAATAAAAATCGTAAATTTACGGTTTGAAAAATGGAAAATGTTTGTTAATTACTCAAAATGTGCAGAATTTAATAAAAATTTTAAATTTACGGTTTAAAAAATCGAAAATGTTTGTTAATTACGCAAAATGTGCATAATTTAATAAAAAAAATTAATTTACGGTTTAAAAAATCGAAAATGTTTGTTAATTACGCAAAATGTGCATAATTTAATAAAAAAAATTAATTTACGGTTTAAAAAATCGAAAATGTTTGTTAATTACGCAAAATGTGCATAATTTAATAAAAATTTTAAATTGACGGTTTAAAAAATCGAAAATGTTTGTTAATTACGCAAAATGTGCATAATTTAATAAAAAAAATTAATTTACGGTTTAAAAAATCGAAAATGTTTGTTAATTACGCAAAATGTGCATAATTTAATAAAAATTCTAAATTTACGGCTTAAAAAAATGGAAATTATTAACAAAATTATGCAAAAAGTAAAAGAATTTTTTTGTGCAGCTCCTGAAATTCTCCACAAAAAATATCTCTTGACACTTTCCTCAACCGGATTAATTCCACAGATATCTTCAAATCATCTCCATAATCATTTTCAACTCATCTTCCGTTCCACTTCATCTTAACCTTTCAAAATTACGATTCGAAATAATTTCCAAAAAAATCCACTATTCCATTCAATTTTGTTCGATTGATATGATACAGATAGAGAGAGATTGAGACAAAAGTCTCATCAGTGTTGATTTATCGTAAAAGCATTTACAAAAGAAGAGAAAACAAAATTCCGCTTTGGTTCCATATTTTCGTCGGTAAAATTCATATAATGGCAGTTGATTACTCGTGTCTCACGACAGCAGTAAAATCCTCAATTACTCCTAATTACTTACAATAAATACTGGAAGAAGAATGTACTAGGCTAATTCCTCTCATGCTAATCGTCACAATAGGCCTCATCGGTAAATACATTCAGTACTCCATCTTCATTGATTTAAAAAACGGAAAATGTTTTTTTTTTGGCTTTAGAAAATTGTTTTAGCTAGCCTGCGAGTGGATGACTGGTGCTCCTCGGTGCAATGTTGAGGCTGGTCGGGATTTGTGACCACTCGAGGCTGTGGCAGTGACATTTATTGGTTGAATTGAGGTCATATGTTGAGGCATACCTGAATCTCTCTTTGGTACTTCTGGTGGTATTTGGAGGACTTCTGTATATTCGCGTATCAAATTTGCTATTTGACAAGCCTGAAAAAATTATGGAGTGATTATTAGATTTTTTAAAATGATTCTGTGACCCTCTGAATTTTATGGACAGTTCAGTAGTAATTTTCGAGCGAGACATCCCCAAATTTCAAAATTACCCTGGAAATTCAGTGAAATTGAAAATTTTTTAGCAGCAGGAAAACGAGAATTCCAGAGTTTACTTGAATTTTCAATCAAAGCACGAAAATTCAGCGTCAAATTCTGTAAATTGATACAATGAATTGAAACTTTTAGAACATGTTGACGATGATGCTGATTTTTATTCATTTTCATTGAATAATTGAAATTCAAATGGCACTGGCAGTTGATAAAAATTTCTAAAAAATGTGTGGGAAATTTCAGCCATGAATTTTCAACAGTGGGTAATGCATTGAATGACAAAGAATTCAGTAGCGAAGTGGTAAAACGGTACAAGTCAATTTTGACTATTGACCAGTTTTCAATGAATATCTCGGAATCTAAGGGAGATAGCAAAATTTTTGTTATAACCTTTTTTGTAGAGCCGATTGAGTGCTACAACAAATGTGATTATGGAAATTTCGCTATCTCCTTTAGATTCGGAAATATTCCTCAAAAACTCAACTAAACGCTAAGTCGAGTTAAACCGCTTTAAGACTTCGCTACTGAATTCAATAGAGAAAGAAAAAGATGGGTATTTTTGCAAATATCTCCGAGAATAAGAAGATTGAAGTATATTTTCACACTTGCTCTTGTAAAGAATTTTATGAATATTTTTATCTGACCTACTAACTTCAGAGGGTTTGAAAAATTACGTGACGTCTGTACAAAGTTTCCGGTAACACTTCGAAAGTGATCGGTGTCTGACCTCTAGTTATTTTACAATTTTTTTCGTCCTTTCACAATTTTCATTTCTACAAAAGCTAAATTTTCGAGAAATTAATCGATCTATCACTTGAGAAAAAGAAGTGATGGATTAATGCATTAATTCATCGATTGATTTGATTAAAAAAACTAATTAAAAAAATATAAAATTCAAAATTTCACTGAAAATTGAATAAAATTTCAAATTTTTGAGCAGCAAGAAAACGAGAATTCCTGAGTTTTTCACATCGTGTAAAATTTTGCAATGAATTAAAAATTTTAGAATACGTTCACTTGAATGTTACTGATTTTTATGTAAAACTTCGAACGTAATCAAGTCTTATCTCTAGTTATTTTACCATTTTATTCATCCTTCGACAATTTTCATTTCTATAAAAGCTAAATTCTCAAGAAATTTACCGATCACTGGTGAAATGAAACTGATAAATGCATTAATTCATCGATTGATTTGAGTTAACTAATTAAAAAACCATAAAATTCAAAATTTCACTGTAAATTCAACAAAATTTCAAATTTTTGAGCAGCAAAACCACGACAATTTCCCAACTTACTTAAAAAATTACCCTAAATTTTCAATCAACTAAAAATCTGTAGACTGTACTTGAATTTTCCTGATTTCTGTGACTCTTCATGAAATAATTCAACTAAAATTTACAATTACCTCGAAAAATCACTGTAAATAATAAATTTCAATGAATTTCGTAATTCAAAGTGTACATTTACATGCAAAAACCACCGGAAATTCTAAATTTCCCATTATAAAATTCTTTAAAATTTCCGAGAGCCCATCCTTCCCCAAGAACTGCCCAAAATTCTCCCAGAAATTTCATTCAAAAATGAAAAAAAATTATGCTCCCCCGACTCACCTGTGAAGTGGTTAAAATGACCTTGCTCTGCTTCTTATCAGTCCCCGTAATGATCATAAGACAGTTCAACGCAGGACTGTAGCTCAAAATACTGCTGTACTCATAAGTGCACAATGCATTCCTGGACCTGTGCTCCAGCAAGTGCAGCCCAAGTTGATCGACAGCGAGCCACAGTACCCTCGGCCAGTTGGACGTGAACGACTGCATGACATCGAAAATAGTAGCCCTGTGCAGTGGCCACGACTGAATAAAATTCAAGAAGGCTTTCTTCGCCTCATTAGGAGTCATCCCCCTGAGTGACTGATGATGCTGAACAATGCCCTCGACACTGATATTGGGAGCAATCCTGGATGGCAGACAGTGACTAGCAACAGTCCTGTACTCAGGTCCACTGACAGTATCCAAGCAATCGCCCAGCTCCAGCTGCGCCTGCAGCGCCGCCAGCATCATAGCTTCCTTCTCAGTAATCGGGAACTTGTCAGCCCTGAGATCATGCAGCACCTGATGATACAGTAACTCCTTCTCCACCGGATCCCCCAGATTCATGTACTGATCCAAGAAGAGATGTTTTTTAAACAAGAACAGATGATGGCCATGCTTTCGCTGTGGCTGGGCCGACTGTTGACTAGTTCTGTACCTCTCCCACTTGGACATGACATCAGCGATCTTCTCCTCCGGCATCAGAGCCCTGTCAGTGGACCCCAGCACCTCATAAATAGCATAACCCATCGCCGACTCCCCCAGCCCAATCTTCGCCTTGATGATCTCCATGACATCCCTAGCCGTAGCTGAAGGATGAAACTCCACAGCATGATACTGTCCATCCATAAAGTGAAACCTCGCGTAGATGGGTCTCCTGTTGATGGTGCACATGATCTCCTCCCTGCTAGGTGGCCACTGCCTCCTCCTCGTCCCCTGAGTCTTGTAAAGACACTTCTCAGCGAATCTCGCGTACTTTCCCTCCTCAGTGACATAATCACTGGCACACCTCTTCAGATGAGCAATCAGATACTTTCTGATGATCTTCTGAGGTGGAAGGATGACAGAGCAAGCCAGAGACAGCAGTGCCCAGTGTCGCAGGTTCACTCTGCTGTTGGGATCAGGATGATCGGTCGTCTGCTTGATCAACTGGAGATACAGCTCCCCCAGGAGGTTCTCCTTCCTCATGCACCTCTCCATCACAGACTGAATGAGATTAACGTGCTCGTCCTCAACCCTTCTCACAGTGTCACCATTCTGCCCTAGTCCAGCGTAAGTCAGCACGAGTTGGAAGACAGAAAGGGCAATTTGCTCTTCGGGGTCAGGAAGCTTCGTCAAACTCTGGGGAATGGAGCCTCTGCTGAAGGCCCAGTAGGCGTGGTGGAAGCCTTTGTACGTCTCTCCGTCGTCTGTGCTGTTGCCGTGCTCCTGCCTCAACTTCTCAATCCTGTGTTTTGATAATCTTCGGAGAGTGTTCCTCAGAAAACCACCGCCAGAGTCCTGGGGCTTCCTCAGGGCCTCTGAGTCCACTAGGGTTCGCCTGCAGTTGACTAAATTGTGGTACAATCGAACTCTGTCCTCGTTTGTGATGCATTTTGCTCGCTTCGTTGGGGCTTCGTTCTCGGTGATCCATCCTGCTAGGGCTGGACAGTAACTTACGATTAAGCTTCCTATTTCGTTCTTCTGGGGGGTCTCGAAGACGAAACACTTGTGGGAACTGTCGGGATTGTGTCGGAGGAGGGATATCGTGATGAAGGAGTCGCTGGGGTCCAGCATTATGCTCTCCACGTCCTGGTACCGATATTCTGAGAGGACGAATTTGTCCTCGGGTTTTATGAGCATCAGGCCGTCGCAGTTTATACCCAGGATTAGCTGGTTACCGTAGGACCAGTAGCCGCGGTAGGTGACGTTGAACATTGTCGTGCCGTAGAGGGGGTACTGCATCACGCAGGAGAGGTAGAGCACCTGAAATTTTGGATGATTTTGGTATTGTAGCTTTGGGATGGATGTGATCATGAGGTTTTTGGGCTCATCTTCAGTACAATTTTCTGAGTGATAAATGCAATTTCTTTTGTTATACTGTGGACAGGGATTAATAATTGAAGATGCTAGGGGGCAACCCCCACATGAACCCCATGATCCTTGTTCTGACCCTTGTGACCCTTAATCTGATCCTCGTGACCCTTATTTTGACCCTTGATTTCGAGTACCAAATTTTCATCACCAGAAGTTGATTTGGATTTTTATAATATACAGAGACAGAGATGTACAGACCCTTATTGACCCTTGTGACCCTTAGTTTCTGACCCTCATGACCGTTAATCTGACATTTGTAATCCTTAGTCCGACCCATGTGACCCTTATTTGGATCCTTAATCTGACCCTCATTACAACCCTCGTAGCCCTTAATCTAACCCAAATGACGCTTGTAACCGTTATTCTGGCCCTTGTGACCCTTAAGCTGACTCTTGTGACCCTTATTCTGACCCTCATGACCCTTAAACTAACCCTTGCGACTCTTAATATAATCCTTGTCAAACTTATTTCGACCCTCGGGACCTTTATTCTAGCCCTCATGACCCTTGTGACCTTAATTTCGAGTACCAAATTTTGATCATCTGAAGTCCATTTGGATTTTTATAATATACAGAGACAGAGATATACAGACCCTTATTGACCCTTGTGACCCTTAGTTTCTGACCCCCATGACCGTTAATCTGACATTTGTAATCCTTAGTCCGACCCATGTGACCCTTATTTGGATCCTTAATCTGACCCTCATTACAACCCTCGTAGCCCTTAATCTAACCCAAATGACGCTTGTAACCGTTATTCTGGCCCTTGTGACCCTTAAGCTGACTCTTGTGACCCTTATTCCGACCGTCATGACCCTTAAACTAACCCTTGCGACTCTTAATATAATCCTTGTCAAACTTATTTCGACCCTCGGGACCTTTATTCTAGCCCTCATGACCCTTGTGACCTTAATTTCGAGTACCAAATTTTGATCATCTGAAGTCCATTTGGATTTTTATAATATACAGAGACAGAGATATACAGACCCTTATTGACCCTTGTGACCCTTAGTTTCTGACCCCCATGACCGTTAATCTGACATTTGTAATCCTTAGTCCGACCCATGTGACCCTTATTTGGATCCTTAATCTGACCCTCATTACAACCCTCGTAGCCCTTAATCTAACCCAAATGACGCTTGTAACCGTTATTCTGGCCCTTGTGACCCTTAAGCTGACTTTTGTGACCCTTATTCTAACCCTCATGATCCTTAAACTAACCCTTGCGACTCTTAATATAATCCTTGTCAAACTTATTTCGACCCTCGGGATCTTTATTCTAGCCCTCATGACCCTTGTGACCTTAATTTCGAGTACCAAATTTTGATCATCTGAAGTCCATTTGGATTTTTATAATATACAGAGACAGAGATATACAGACCCTTATTGACCCTTAGTTTCTGACATTTGTAATCCTTAATCCGACCCATGTGACCCTTATTTGGATCCTTGATCTGACCCTCATTATAACCTTTGTAAACCTTAATCTGACCCATATGACCCTCGTACCTTATTCTGATCCTTATGACCCTTAATCTGACTCTTGTGCCCCTCATTCTGACCCTCATGAGCCTTAAACTGACCCTTGCGATCCTTAATATAATCCTTGTTAAGATAATTCCGACCCTCGTGATCTTTATTCTAGCCCTCATGACCCTTATTTTGACCCCTGTGACCTTAATTTGGAGTCTTAATTTCGAGTACCAAATTTTCATCATCAGAAGTCGATTTGGATTTTTATAATATACAGAGACTGACATATAGAGACCCTTATTGTAACCCTTGTGACCCTTAGTTTCTGACCCCCATGATCTTTAGTCTGACTTTTGTAATCCTTAATCCAACCCATGTAACCCTTATTTGGGTCCTTGATCTGACCCTTATCACAAATCTTGCAGCCCTTATACCCTTGACCCTTGGAACCCATATTATGACCCTTGTGACCCTTATTCACAACCTCATGACCCTTATTCTAACCCTCACGACCCTTATTCTGATCCTAATGACCCTTATTTTGACCCTTGTGACTCTGAATATGTGAAATGTAGTAATTTTTTAAAAACAGTTGATATGTCCTAGTTGAAACATCGTAGTTGAAATGTCGCCTAGTTAAAAAAAAGTGCCACCATTCTCCCTAACGTACCTTAGCCGTGAGTTCAGATCTCCCACATCCATATTGTTTATGAGCCTGCGCAATTATGGGCACCCAGACATCGTCCCCTCGAGCTCTGCTGATTCGATAAGGCAAGAAGCTATCAACTTCACTGTAATAATCAAGCCTATCGTTGTCCTTCGGATCACCCAGGGACACCTGGGCCTGGAGACCCGCCAGTTGGAGGGCCACTTTCTCTGAGACTGGGAAGTCATCACACTTGACTACATTGTAGACCGCCTGTGAGTACAACATGTTGACTTCCACTGGGTCTTGAGACAGCTCACGAGTGTTCCGGAACAGACGGCGCTTGAAGACGAATCGATTGTCACCACTGCCCAGGGTCTGATTGGAACCCCGCCGAAGGGTGGAGAAGGAGGAGGTGGAGGTGTTGAGCTTGCATTGCTTCATTTCCCAAGCGGCGATCACGTCGTAGAGGTAATCATGCGCTCGGACGTGTTCCTCACCGTCTGGACGACTTTGATAGATTGCCCAGCCTTCCAGGGACCTGTGGGCAATGATCAGAAATATTTTTGTTCATCTCGGTAATGATAATTCTCTCATTTAGGGGGAAACGTTATGAGACACTGATTATTTCGCATAATTCAGGAAACTTTTTTTTTGTTGAGGTTTTGATGGTGTTTAGGGTCGAAAGAGCCTTACGGTCGCTTGAAGTGAGGGTAAAATGGTCTTGAGGGTCAAACAACTCTCAAGAACGTTTGAGGTTGAGGGTTAAATGGTCTTGAAAATCGAATGACAATTAGTAATGTTTTTAGTTGAGGGTTAAATGGTTTTTAGGGTGAAAAGACCCATAAGGTCTTTTCAAGTGAAGGTAAAATGGTCTTGAGGGTCAAACAACCCTTGAGACCGTTTCGAGTTGAAGGTGAAACAACTCAAGCACGTTTGGGGTTGAGAGTTAAATGGTCTTAAAGGTTAAACGACCATTAGTCATGTTTTAGTTGAGGGTTAAATGGTTTTTAAGGTGAACAGACCATTGAGGTCGCTTGAAATGCGGGTAAAATGGTCTTGAGGGTTAAACAACCCTTGAGAACGTTTCGAGTTGAAGGTGAAAACTCAAGCACGTTTGGGGTTGAGAGTTAAATGGTCTTAAAGGTTAAACGACCATTAGTCATGTTTTAGTTGAGGGTTAAATTAGTTAAATTAGTTTTTAAGGTGAACAGACCATTAAGGTCGCTTGAAATGAGGGTAAAATGGTCTTGAGGGTTAAACAACCCTTGAGAAAGTTTCGAGTTGAAGGGCAAACAACTCCCAAGAACGTTTGGGGTTGAGGGTTAAATGGTCTTAAAGGTTAAACAACCATTAGTCATGTTTTAGTTGAGGGTTAAATGGTTTTTAAGGTGAAAAGACCATTAAGGTCGCTTGAAATAAGGGTAAAATGGTCTTGAGGGTTAAACAACCTTTGAGAAAGTTTCGAGTTGAAGGTCAAACAACTCTCAAAACGTATGAGGTTGAAGGTTAAGTAGTTTTGAAGGTCCAACGACCATTAATAATGTTTTTAGTCGAGGGTTAAATGGTTTCGAGAGTCAAACAACCCTTAAGGACATATTCAATTGAGGGTCAAATGGTCTTGAGTCATAGAAAACTTTATGAACAGTTAGGGTTGACGGCAAAATGGCCTTGGAGATCGAACAAAAATTTAGAACGTTTAGTGCCGAGGGTCAAATGATCTGAAGGGTCACACAACCCTTACGAAGGTTTAGGGGTGAGGGTAAAATGTTCGGGGGATCAAACAAACCTTAATAACGTGTAGGGTTTAGGGTTGACAGTAAAATAGTCTTGAGGGTTAAACATCAATTTAGAATGTTTAGATCTGAGAGTCAAAGGATCTTCTAAGTAAAACGACCCTTAAGAACGTTTGGAGTTGAGGGTCAAACGGCCCTGAACAAAGTTTGGAGTTGAGGATCAAATGATCTCGATCGTCAAACCACTCTTAAGAACGTGAAGTATTAATGGTCTTAAGGATAAAACGGGTTAGAGTAGTGATTCGAAAGGGTCATGTAACTCAATCTCTCACGTTATTAAAGGTCATTTCATTATTAAAGGTCGTTTGCCCCTCAACTAAAACAAAAACAATTTTTTTTCGCGATGGAATCGCTCGTCATCCGATCATTAACAAATCCTAATCATCATTAACCCCGCACAGATCATCAACTAATTATCGAAAATGTTTTGTTTGCACTAATTTATTAAATTATCTCACTAATACTGAAATTTTTCTCAACCATGAGAGCATTCTATTTCCCAAAAATTACTAAATATCCGTGAGTCATTTACACAACTCACCTCAATCCCAGCTTCTCAGCAAGTTTGGCAGCCGCATCAGCAGCTGTGTCCGTTGGATGCACATCAATGGCTTTAGTCCTTCCATCGAGAAAGAAAAATCGACAAACAATGGTCCCCAACCTCCTCATGGCTGCAATCTCCACAGTCGAAGGGGGGAACTGTCGACAGGAGACTTTAGTGTTCTTGCAGTTGTCGACGCACCACTGGACGTACTGCCTCAGCTTTCCCTCGAGGGCTAGATTCTTGCGGAGGAATGAGACGAAGTACTTGTACAGGAGTTTTGACGGTTGGAAGGCGACGATTGCCAGGCAGAGGAGCAGCCAGACCCTCTCCGCCCACTCGGGGTTCGGATTATTCGTGGCCTGTCTCATGCACTGCACCAGGATCTCGTCCCTCATCTCCTCTCGTTCGATCCCGTTACTTATTATCGACTGGATCGTCGTGATCTCCTGCTCGAGCTTCATCTCCCCTCGCAGGTACTTGCAGAGGTCTCGGAATGTCGAACAGGCCAGGTTGACGTTGTCGGGGTCGTACATGTGGATGTGAGAATTGGGAATGGTGGAACCCTTGTAATAGGTCACCATCTCGTACTTGGGGATGAATTCTATGCTTTTGCCTCGGGATTTTCGGGTCAGGGTCGCCATTATTGTACCTTCCGGCGATCTCTCGTGACTGTTGAAGTAGTTTTGAGCGAACTCTACGATGTCGTGGTACAATACCTGGGGAATCAAGCAGTGGAATGGAGTTGAATGATTTGAACTCGTATCGAAGTGTCTGTCACCGTAAATCAGATACATTTTTCAATTTCTTGTTATCCAACTTATTCTGAATATAAATTAAAAATGCTCTTTGAAAAAATTAAGAATATTTTCTACTTTCTTTTGATTATTCACTCATAATTTTTCAAAACTTCTGCATGATACAGGAGTTCATTGACAATTTCAGATGACGAAAGATGAACAAAAACATCGAGACAACGTTCGAAAGACAATACACCCGGGCCTTAATGCAAGAATACGATATTCTTGATACAAAAATATGTCCCAGGACCTTTCAAAAGAGAAACATTTTACTCTTGCTCGAAGGATACTTTTCGTACGCCAAACGTTACTCACCTCATGCTCCACAGGTTCCTTTTTGTCCTCCAGCTCCTGCAGCTTCCTCTCAACCCTGAACTTTCTCCTTTGCTCCCTCTCCGGTTGCCCCTGGCCCCCGCCATTCTGCAGCCCCTGCACACTCGGCTGCACCTGCATCTGCGCCTGCACACCCTGACCTTGCGCCCCCACGTTCTGCCCACCCACGACCCCCACGTCGTGCCCATTCGGCATCATCTGATGATGTCCTCCATTAGTCTGATGCGCCAAATGATGATTCGTAGAGTTCCTAGACTCCGGACGTGAAGGTGGACTATTAATCACCGGTTCCTTGATGATTTTCGTCACTGGAACTGGTGGAGGCGATGGACAGGTGTCTCCATTCGTCTGGGTCGAGTGCCCATTGATACGAATGGGAACACTCGTTTCACTCTCATCCCTGGGCAGCACAGACTCGTAAATTGGCTCGTTCGTGTCAATTGTCTCACCATTTGTGGGAAGGGGAGGGGGTGGGGGTGGGGGTGGTGGACCTGTGGGTTCAGGAAGGCTGGGGGGACCCATCTTGGTGCCGTTCCTGGGTGCATCTGGCGAATTCAGGTTCGACATTTTGGAATCCGATTTTGCAATCATCTCCATCTCCAGCTGAATGACACTCTCCAGCTCGGCGTCCAGGTCCTCAACGAGCTCCTCCATCTGCTCGCCAAGTTCTTCGATTGTCTGGTGGGTTTTTGTGGACTGAACGTCGGAGAGGAAGGAGAATAGGTTGTCGAGATCGACGGATTGGAGCTCAGTTGTTGCCATTTTTGAGTTCAATTGCTCCGCCATTTGGGAGAGGGCGGCGATCTCCTCTTGTGCTTTTCTGGAAATTTGGAAAGAGGTTTTTTAGGGAGAATTTAATGCCAAGGGGAGAAAGGTGATTAGTGGATTTGACTGGCTTTTTGGGAACGAGATAATGGGAAAGTCGTGAGGAATATTTTTTGTGGAGGATAATTTTATTTCAAAAAGGTTTTGGTAATTTCTTTGAGGTCGGGGAAAAAATGAACAATGAGAAAATGACTACTCAGCGCACTATTTTGAAAACTTTTTTTTGTTTTTAGTCGAGGGTCAAAGGGTTTCACGACCCTTGATGACGTTTGGGGCTCGAGGTCAAATGGGCGTAAGGGCCAAACGACCCTTGAAGATGGGTAGGGTCCAGGGTCAAATGACTCTCTCTGATCACTTTGTTCCATGTTCAACCCTTGAGACCATTTGACCCTTAACCCAAGGTCATTTGACCCTTCACGACCAATTGACCCCCAACTGCAAACGTCCTCAAAGGTCGTTTGACCTTCAAAACCAGTTGACAAGTCAAGATTTTTTGTTGTCCGTTATAATTGAGGAGCAAGTGGGTTTTTGAGGGTCAAACGTCCCTAATGACGTTCAGGGCTAAGGATCAAATGTTAATAAGGGTCAAACCACCGTTAAGGACGTTGAGAGTTAAGAGTCAAATTGTCCTAAAGGGCCATGGACGCTTGACGACGTGGAGGGTTAAGGGTCGAATGACCCTTTCTGATTACTCTGCCCCAACCTGCTAAACCTTTGAGACCATTTGACCCTCAACCCCAAACGTTCTTAAAGATCGTTTGACCCTCAAAGCCATTTGACAATTCAGGAATCTTTTGTCTTATTTATACTTCAGGGTCAAGTAGTCTTGACGGTCAAGTGATCATTAATGACGTTAGATCAAATATTTATAAGGGTCAAACGCCCCTTAAGAACGCTCCCAGTTAAGGGTCCAATTGTCCAAAGGAGCAACAACCCTCAAAGGCCTTTAGGGTCAAGGATAAAATGACCCTTTATAATCCCTCCGTTCTAATCCAGTAGACCCTCCAGACCATTTGGCCCTTAATTCTAAACGGTCAAAGGTCGTTTGACCTTAAAAACCAGTTGACTTTCTCCTGACAGATCGTTTGACCCTCAAAACCTTGAGCATTCAAGAAACTTGTTTATTTATTTATAATTAAGGGTCAAGTGATATTGAGGGTCAAATGGCCCTTAAGGACGTTCAGAGTTGAGGGTCAAATTGTCCAAAGCAGCAAAAGACCCTCAAAGACATTTAGGGTCGAGGATCAAATGACCCTTTCCAATCCCTCTGTTCTAATCCAGTAGACCCTTAAAACCATTTGAACCTTAATTCTAAAGGTTCAAAGGTCGTTTGACTTTAGAAACCAANACGCCCCTTAAGAACGCTCCCAGTTAAGGGTCCAATTGTCCAAAGGAGCAACAACCCTCAAAGGCCTTTAGGGTCAAGGATAAAATGACCCTTTATAATCCCTCCGTTCTAATCCAGTAGACCCTCCAGACCATTTGGCCCTTAATTCTAAACAGTCAAAGGTCGTTTGACCTTAAAAACCAGTTGACTTTCTCCTGACAGATCGTTTGACCCTCAAAACCCTGAGCATTCAAGAAACTTGTTTATTTATTTATAATTAAAGGTCAAGTGATATTGAGGGTCAAATGGCCCTTGAAGACGTTCAGAGTTGAGGGTCAAATTGTCCAAAGCAGCAAAAGACCCTCAAAGACATTTAGGGTCGAGGATCGAATGACCCTTTATAATCCCTCTGTTCTAATCCAGTAGACCCTCCAGACCATTTGGCCCTTAATTCTAAACGGTCAAAGGTCGTTTGACCTTAAAAACCAGTTGACTTTCTCCTGACAGATCGTTTGACCCTCAAAACCTTGAGCATTCAAGAAACTTGTTTATTTATTTATAATTAAGGGTCAAGTGATATTGAGGGTCAAATGGCCCTTAAGGACGTTCAGAGTTGAGGGTCAAATTGTCCAAAGCAGCAAAAGACCCTCAAAGACATTTAGGGTCGAGGATCGAATGACCCTTTATAATCCCTCTGTTCTAATCCAGTAGACCCTCCAGACCATTTGGCCCTTAATTCTAAACGGTCAAAGGTCGTTTGACCTTAAAAACCAGTTGACTTTCTCCTGACAGATCGTTTGACCCTCAAAACCTTGAGCATTCAAGAAACTTGTTTATTTATTTATAATTAAGGGTCAAGTGATATTGAGGGTCAAATGGCCCTTAAGGACGTTCAGAGTTGAGGGTCAAATTGTCCAAAGCAGCAAAAGACCCTCAAAGACATTTAGGGTCGAGGATCGAATGACCCTTTATAATCCCTCTGTTCTAATCCAGTAGACCCTCCAGACCATTTGGCCCTTAATTCTAAACGGTCAAAGGTCGTTTGACCTTAAAAACCAGTTGACTTTCTCCTGACAGATCGTTTGACCCTCAAAACCTTGAGCATTCAAGAAACTTGTTTATTTATTTATAATTAAGGGTCAAGTGATATTGAGGGTCAAATGGCCCTTGAGGGCGTTCAAAGTTGAGGGTCAAATTGTTCAAAGCAGCAAAAGACCCTCAAAGACATTTAGGGTCGAGGATCAAATGACCCTTTCCAATCCCTCTGTTCTAATCCAGTAGACCCTTAAAACCATTTGACCCTTAATTCTAAAGGTTCAAAGGTCGTTTGACTTTAGAAACCAATTGACTTTCTCCTGACAGGTCGTTTGACCCTCAAAACCTTGAATATTCAAAAAACTTGTTTATTTATAATTAAGGGTCAAGTGGTCTTGAGGGTCAAATGGCCCTTGAGGACATTCAAATTAGAGGGTCAACTTGTCCTACGGGGGAAACGACCCTCAAAAACGAAAAGGATCAAATTACCTTTTGTGATCCCTTTGTTTTAACCCTCTAGACCCCTAAGACCACTTGACCCTTAACCCTGAACGTTCTCAAGGGTCGTCAAACCCTCACATAAAAATGTAAAAAAAAAAGTTTCCTGAACTGTGCTAAATAGTCACTTCCCCTTTGTGTTGAACTAATTTCTGGCCGTGTTAACAGACATAAATAATTTATAAAAGCTTTATCATCCAATTAGCATTGTTATTGCAGTGCCCGCATTATCGTGCATCCAATGAAACTCACCCAGGCTCCATCCCAACAATACCATTGTACTGAGCGCTATAAGGCACAAAGGATGATATTTTCTTATCCTCATTGAGGGAAAAGTTATGTAAAAGGTTGAAATGAGGGCTTTCGTACCTTTGACTGTCCTCGAGGGCCTTCTTGTCCTCCATGAGTCGTCTCTCCTCTTCCATACGTTCGCGTTTTCTCATCTCCTCGTCCACTCTACGCATTTCACGTAGGGCTGCTGCTACCTCTCGTGCAAATACTCCACGAAGGTGGGACTGGATGACAATTGCTGCTCGACGCTTTCTTATGAACATTATGCGGAGCTTCCAGCCGCGGTAGGCGTGCTGGACTTTTAGGGCTGCATCGCGGGTACGTCGATAGTCTACAGAAGGCAATGGACAGATTTTTTTCAACTGAATTCAGTGGTGAAGCGGTAAACCAGTTTAAGAGGGACCAGAAGGCCAACGTTTTCTCTTAAACTTTTTGATATTTTTCGAACCTAAAGCACATTGATCTTCATCATCACCTCCTGGAGATTAATGTGCTTCGATTTTTAAAAATATCGATAACTTTCGGCAGAAAATTTGTTCAAAAATTTGGAAAATTATTGGACAAAAGATAATCCAGATAGAACCACAAATATTTACCTTTTCTCACAACGTAAGCTCTCCAAATCTTCTGAATGATGATTGCATTTCTCGTGACGAGTTTGTTCCTGGAATCCTCCAGAGGTTCATGAACATAGCTCCTCAAGAAGACTTTGGTCCTCCCAATCTGCCACTCGGTCTCCTCGATCCCCTGACTCTTGATCAAGCACCTGGTGGCCTCTCTGTCGTCCTTTGGCAGCATTGTCCTGCCCTTCACAAGGCATTTGTACCTAGCCACGAAGTCTGAGAACTGGAGATGAATGGGGAAGCCCTCCTTCCTGATCCTGATGATGTCCAGCATCCCCAGGTACCTCAGCTGGTCGAGAACCAGCTTCTCGTCGTAATGATTCGCATGTTTATCCATGTTAGGCTTGATGCACCTGGCGTACCAGGGGGTAGTCCCTTGGAGAACGTCCACGAGTGCCTGGAGTTGGTGCCTGAAGGAGTCACAGAGGGTTGGCTTTCCCTTCGTGGTGCCCCTGGACATCGTCGTGGTGCTTCCAGATGCTCTGGCCACAGTGCAACCTAGGAGATCCTGGTAAACTGTGATTTCCTGGACAAACTCGTTTGTACTTCTACTCAGGAAATCGAAGAACACGTCCTGTTGGACGTCTCGATTCTTGTCGACGAAGCCTTCTACCGTGTACGTGACAGCTCCAGCGTAATGTTTGAGTCTGGAACGAAAAGTATTTGACGGAATTTCATGATAAAGGGGTAATTATTGAGGAAGATTTTGTTTTTGTTTATGAATGGAAGCGGTGTATTCGTCACATTCCACATTTCCTATTTTTGTGTGTTCCGCCCCCTCACCCAAAAAAAAAAAAAACAAATGGGAAATTCCTTTCGTCACAACATAGTCAACATATTTTTGCTAATAAATTAGTAATTTGCTACTGAATGGAATCTCTATGACGATGTATTTTAAATTAAATTCAATGATTCAGTGAATTCAACATTGCCTCAACATTGACAGCCAACATTACTCCAACGTTACATTATTATACCTTTCCCTGAATATTGATTTCAAAATAAATTTTGTCAATAACAGATGCATGATTAATAATGATCAATTTCATGATCGAATTCATTCAAAATGGCATTGGGAAGAATATTTTAAATCACAATGGATTCATTGAAACAATTATTTTTTCAGTTATCGTCAAAAAACGATCGATCACATACACACACATACCTACATCTGGGCATGGCCTACATGGGCATGGCACAAGTCTAAATCAAGTATAGTTTTTTTTTTAATAACAATTAGCAATTTGCTTCCAAATTGTAAATTGGGGAAGAAGATATACCAACCATGAAACCTTAATATGATCCCTAAATGTCTCAAATGACTAACATGAGCTCCATATGCCCTGGTTAAACATCTAACAGACGCCAAATTACAATTAAACTGGTTTAAACTTCCATTGAACATTGATTAAACCGTGACGAAACTTTGGTTAAACCCTGATTAACCTCTGACTAAATCCCGACTAAACCCTGACTAAACCCTGATTAAACTCCGACTAAACCCTGACTCTACTCCGCCTAAACCCTGACTAAACTCCAACTAAATCCTAACTATACTCCGACTAAACCCTGACTAAACTTCGACTAAATCCTGACTAAACCATGATTAACCATCGATTAAATGCTTTTTAAGGCGATAATTTCAAAGCAAATGATGCGGTCGCCACTATCTCCGAACCAATATTTCAAGCCATAATTAAAAACGAATATTTTAAGCCATAATTGAAAAGATTTCGACGCATCGCCGAATAAATCTCAGGGGGTTTCTGGTGTAAATAAAAAAAAAAGATTTCGACGCTTATTTTTTGAATGATCGTCAAAAAACTAACTTCGAAAAAAAAGCTCACATACGGACATGATCTAAAAACAGCATATTCGAACTCTTGAGACCAAAATTAGTAATCGTCACGTAAAAAAATAAAAATTCCAGGTTTGACGAATACAAAGCTTCCATTCGCAAGCAAAAATATCATATTCGAACGCCTGAGGCCAAAATTAGTTATCCTGTCCCAAAAAATAGGAAATTCCAGATTTTCCGAATGCAATGAGTCCACCCGAAAGCAAAAAAACGACAGAATACTCACCCAAATTCCTTCTCCCACTTCCTCCGATCATCCCCCTTGACATAGCAAGGATGTCCCTCAAACTCGGAATGCAGATTCGTGAGATACGCTGTGTCCGACCCCTTTGGCATGTGGCACTGTTCCGTCAGCAGTTTAAGCACACACCTCGGTGGCTTCTCAATCAGCTCCAGACAGAGTGTATTATCGGTAAACGTGATATGCGAGTACTGTATCTCCTCCTGCTTGTACAGCTCTTGCTCAATAGCGAAGACATAATGATTGAAGAACTTGTGAAGTTTCTCGTTCGTATAATTGATGCAGAGCTGTTCGAAGCTGTTGACCGAAAAGTTCTCGAAGCCAAAGATATCGAGAACCCCGAGGAACCTGGAGGAGTCCTGTCCAGGATTCGTGCAGTTATTGATGTGGTTGATCAGCCACGCGAATGTCCTTGAGTAGAGGGCCTTAGCCATGGCGTGTCGGTTCTCCCTGGCCTCTTGGACCTTCAGGGGGATCTCTGTGATGTTCCCCCGGACGTTGATCTGCCTCACCAACACGACTTTCGTGAGGTCCTCGGGCTGCAGCCCCAGGAGAGGTGCAACAGTGCCAATAATTTCAACATCTTCCTTCGTTAATTCGCAGCGTTCGCCGTCGACATCCTGAAAACTCAAGTTTCCGAGCCACAGAATGGCGGAGAGAACTCGGTAGATGCCCTCGCACATCTCTGAGGGCACCTGGAGAACGTTGAAGGCTAGTCGAAGGGCGTCCAGCTTCTTGCTCTCCGAGACACCCTCGATCTTGGTGCAGCCTGATTGGTTGAGGTACTTGTACTTGGACGCTGGCAGCAGGTGGTACTGCTCGGCGAACTCGCGGTCTTGGATTCCTCCCTCGACTAGTTGGTAGAACACGTGGTAGTTGCGCTCTCCCGGGCTCTGGAAGGTTATCCGGGATTGCTCCAGGAGGTAGTCCTGGATTATGCAGCCTTTGATCATCCATTTCGAATCGAAACAGACTTGCATGAACTTGCCGAAGCGGGAGGAGTTGTCGTTGCGAACTGTCTTGGCGTTTCCTGGAAGGAAATTGAGCGATTGTTGTTTCTGTTTTGGGAGGGGTTTTGAGGGACGTTGAGAGACATTTGCAAAGAATGATTTGTGAAGATGTAGAAGAAGAGATTTTTGTGGATAAAACTGATATCATTCTGTTGATGGATTAGAAGAGAACAGGGGAAAAATGCTTTTTTTGTATTAGTTGAGGGTCAAATGGTTTTGAGGATCACATGACCCTTTCTGATTATTCTGCTCTAATGGGTTGAATCTACAAGATAATGTGACCCTTTGCCCCGGATGCTCTTAAGGTTTGTTTGACCCTCACAACCATTTGACCCTCAAATCCATTTGACTTTCAATTCCAAACGTCTTTAAGGGTTGTTTGACCCTCAAAACATTTGACCCTTTATTCCAAACGTCCTTAAAAGTTGTCTTATCCTCAAAACCCTGGCTCTCGCCTAAGAAGGTTTTTAAAGGTCGTTTGACCCTCAACTCCAAACTTCTTGAGGGTTATTTGACCTTAGAAATCGTTTGACCCTCAACTCCAGACGTCTTTAAATGATTTTGGCCCTCAACTAAAAACATTTCTAATGATAGTTTGACCCTCTAGAGTGTTTGGCCCGCGACTCCAAACGGCCTTCAGGCTCCAAATCTTTTGACACTCAACTCCAGACGTTCTTGAGGGTTATTTGACCTTCAACACCGTCTGATGTTCAACTTCAAATACCATTAAGAGTCGGTTGACCCTCAATGCCAAACGTCCTAAGGGTCATTTGACCCTCAAAACCATTTAGGCCTCAACTCCAAACGTCCTTAAGGGTAAAAATAAACGTCTTTGAGGCTCAAAATATTTTGACCCTGAACTCCAAACGTTCTTGAGGGTTATTTGACCTTCGATACCGTTTGACGCTCAACTTTAAACACCCTTAAGGGTCGTTTGACCCTCAAGACCGTTTGACCCTCAACGCCAAACGTCTTTAAAGGTCTTTTGACCCTCACGGCCAACTAACGCTCAACCCAAAATGAGTTTTTATCGAGAAATCTAAAGGAGATGATTGAATTTCCATAAAAACCCTTTCGTACCACATAAAAAATTTGATCCACTGAATAGATTCAAAGATATTTGTGAACAAAATAAATCATTGTTTGCTCTCAAGTTTATTCAATTTATTCCGTGAAACTGAAGTATTTGATTTGAAATTAATGTCCATGAAATGTTGAATTGTTTGAGAAACTCACCGAAAGCTTCTAGTATCGTGTTAGCTTCCAGAATCTGTTGCTCAACCCAAGTATCAACATTACTCGTGACCGAGCACAAATACTGGAGTATGAACTTTGTTGTCTCAGTCTTGCCAGCTCCACTCTCCCCAGAAATAACACAAGACTGATTGCTCTCGGTGTTCCGGAGTGATCGATAAGCAGCCTCAGCCAGAGCGAACACGTGGGGCTCCAGGGAGCCCATCTTCTGGCCATGGTACCTGTGCACGTGCTCCTGCAATTAAATAAATAATCCTGTTACGAGGTTGTAGAACAGAAACCGAAAAAACTGGAGAAATTCAAGTTCTGTGGAACTTATTTCGCGAATATCTGCGAAAGTAAGAGATTTGGAGAAAAATATCACAAGACTTTTTTTGTAGACAATGAAATTCTTCACGAAAAAGGTCTACTGACATTTTTCTCTAGGACTAATAAACATCGAGATAATTTAATAAGTAATAATCGATAAATAACACTGAATCATTTAAATCACAATTAATGATCAGATTTTTTTGTTTCCTTAATGGAGGAAAAAGAGGGAACAAAATTGTTGAAAATAATCTTCGAAACTAGTTTCAAGGATTATTGATCAATTATCGACATAAGTGACCCAGAAATAATCGGATCAAAAATATCGAGACCACCTGAAAGCCTAAACCCCTTAGTTTAAAAAAAAATGGGACAGAAGTGGAGAAAATGGAGCAGAAATATCTCGGTCGTTTGCTAAATCGGAAAAGGAATTATGGGGGTCATTAGTCTAAAGGTCAGGCCCTGTAAATACCGCGGAGTGACGAAAATATCGAGTGGAGAATATCGGATTCCTCTCCAATCATCTGCGATTTGAGTACAAAATTTTCGATAAAATTTTTATACATAAGTCAAGCCAATTTCATACATGATTTCGCCGGGGCGAAATAGAGTTTTTCGATACGAGTGCGTAAAAGTGTTTTTTTTTTACTCGTGGGTGGTGTGTAGCGCTCACCGAATGCGAGTGCTACCCTCCCAAGGGTCAACGAACACTTCTTCCACGAGTGTCGAGCCCTATTTTTCATCACAATGTGTAGAAAGTGGAATTCTGCGCGCGTGCGTAAAATGTTACTTTACGCACATGTGATGAAAAAAGCGTTTTTTGAGCCGTGGGGGGTGGATAGCGCTCGCCAAATGCAAGTACTACCTTCCCAAGGGTCAACGAGCACTTTTTCCACGAGTGTCGAACTCTATTTTTCATCACAATGTGTAGAAAGTGGGATTCTGCACGCGTGCGTAAAATGTTACTTTACGCACATGTGATGAAAAAATAATTTTTTGACCCGTGGGAGGTGGATAGCGCTCGCCAAATGCAAGTACTACCTTCCCAAGGGTCAACGAGCACTTTTTCCACGAGTGTCGAACCCTATTTTTCATCACAATGTGTGAAAAGTGAGATTTTGCGCACGCGGAGCGATGAAAAAAATATTTGTTAGAAAACATTTTGTGTTGAGAATTCAATCATCTAAAAAAAATGTCAATTGCCATTTCCTCCTAATACTATTGATATAATTCCAAAGTTGAGAAAGTACAAAAGAAAAACGATTTGTTATTATTTCACTTCGGGATGATATCTTGTCATATAAATAATGTTGTCATCCACATCATGTCCAAAACCATTCATAATGATTAACAGCACGCCGACAAGAGTGTAATTGCGCCGAGTGAATAGTCTGACTGTAATAATTGTCATACCACTGCACTCCAGTGCACTAAATCCCCTGGAGAATCCTTGGAAATCGTTCAGAGCCACGCGAGATATCGAATAACTCGATTAATCCGGGTTAGTGGAGTATTTCCCCTGAGACATGAAAGAGGTTAAGGGAAACAAGCCCACTGCCACTTGACACTTCCCTTCCGCAAGAATTAAAAGAGGGACAAGAGTCTCAACCCTTCGGAACACACATTACTCCATTGTTCTAGTGCAGTCGGATGCTGCAAACAATTTTTTTTATTCGCTCGTAAATATCTCGGAAACGATCGGGTTCAGAGGGAAATGTTAAAAGACTTTTTTGTAGATCACGAAATTATCCACAAAAAAGGTCATCAGAGTTTTTCTCTCAAACTCATTATTTATGTAGGAGAGAGTAGGAGAAAATAAATCATTAGGAGAAACGAGTATTTAGGTCAATTCAGGAGATTTTTTTATTTGGGTTGCGGGTCAGATGATCCTGAGGGCCAAATGACCCTTAAGAATATTTGGAGTTAAGGGTCAAAGGGTTGTGAAAGGTAAAAGACCCTCAAGGACGTTTGACGATAAGGGTCAAATAGCTCTTGATAACTTGAGGATTTTTTATTTCAGCTGCGGGTTAGATGATCTTGAGGGTCAAATGACCCTTAAGAACATTTGAAGTTAAGGGTCAAAGGTCCCTCAAGGATGTTTGAAGTTAAGAGTCAAATGGTCGTGCGGGCCAAATGAACTTCGAGGATGATTGAAGTTGAGGGTCCACTGGTCTTGAGGGTCAAATAACTCTTGATAACTTGAGGATTTTTTATTTCAGCTGCGGTTCAAATTATCTTGAGGGTCAAATGACCCTTAAGAACATTTGGAGTTGAGGGTCAAAGGGTTATGAGAGTCAAAAAACCCTCAAGGATGTTTCAAGTTAAGGGTCAAATGGTCGTGCGGGTCAAACGGTCTTAATGGTCAAATAATCTTTGAGGATGTTTAGGATGAAGGGTCAAACGTTGTTGAGGGTCAAACGCTCCTCAAAAACGTCTGGCGTTGGCGGTGAAACGACCCTTAACGACGTCTGGAATTGAGGGTCAAATTGTCCTGAAGGTCAAGCCATCTTTGAGAACGTTTAGGGTCAAGGTTCAAATGGTCCTGAGGATCAAAAGACCCTCAAGGGCATTTGGAGTTGAGGGTCAAACGTTTTTGAGGTTCAAATAAACCTTGAAAATGTTTAGACTTAATGGCTAAATGGTTTTGAAGTTCAAACGATCCTTAAAAATGGTTGGATTTGAGGGTTAAATGCTACTTGCGGGCCAAACTATCCTTCAAGGTATTCCGGCGTTAAGGGTCAATTGTTCTTGAGGGTCAAATCACCCTTAACAACGTTTAGGGTTAAGGGTCAAATGACCCTTCCTGCTTCTTCTTGTTTAACCCACTCGGCCCTTGAGACCATTTGACAATTTGAAAGGGTCAAATTACCCTTTCTGGTTCTTCTTGTTTAACCCGCTCGACCCTTGAGGCCATTTGACCCTTAACCCTAAAAGTCTTCCAGGGTCGTTTGAAAATAAATTTGCACCAACAGGTCTAGAAACAATGTCAGAAGACACTTTTTATACAAAATTTATAGAAAATCCTTTTTACAGAAAATTAAAAAAAAATTTTTTTAAATCCCCTATTTTGCCAGATTTTCCAAAAAAGTAAAGACCAAATTTTCTTTTCAATCCATCCAGCCATCGATTTTCAATGAAATCAATGTTCTCTCTCCATCATCATCATCGTCATGAAAAAACTTTTCATGATCCAAATAATGATGACGAAGAACCGGTGAATGAAGGATACCGATAATACCCAAAGTCTCGTCCCCAATTCACGTCGATGCTCCCCGGAGTGTCATCGTGATTAGTGCACTAGAGTCGGGTACGCTCGAGAGTGCAAGCCCTCCCGCTTTTCCATTCTCATTCCCTTTAGCGGTGTGCCCTCTTGTCCTCACTCAGTGATGAAATACCCTGACTTCAGGACTGTGAACTCGCATGTCGTCGACCGGTGAAAGGTGGGATGAGGGCAAAAGCCACGGCCTATTTCCTTACTGGGTCATACCTCGTTACCAGATGGGGGATGAAACGATTATCATGGATGAATTCGTACTCATGGATGATTTCATCAGCTCTGAGCACTCAGAGTGCAGGAATACGAATGGAAAGAGGTTTTCTCAGAGAAGAACTTGGGAGGCAGAGGAGACGCGATAATGCTGAAGGTGACAATTTTACTTGATGCAAATATTATTTTCGTAATTGTTGAATTATCTGGGTAACGAGCGGTTTTATGAGAAAATATTATAGGACATTTTTTGTAGCTGAAGAAATTTCCTACGAAAAATATTTTTTGAGATTTTTCTCTAAAATCATTCATTAGCGAGATAATTGAGCAATTGTAAATTGATTTTTGAGTGAAGTTACAGATAATACTTCGGAAGAAGAAATCCTGCAAGAAAAATATCAAGATATCTTTTGCAGCTGAAGAAATGTCTTATAAAGGATATCTTTTGAGATTTTCATCTAACTCATCCTTGAGATCATTACCGAATTCATGAATTAACGATTCGAGTTTGAAGATAATTCTTTGCTAATTGGGCCATTACCACAAAAATTAGTGCTGGGAAAGCAGTAATCTGACCTTTAATCTCATCCTTGTTTACCCTTTTTGGACCCGTAATTTGACCGATATGACCCTTAATCTGACCCTTGCGAGCCTTATTTGGAACTTTTTCTGACCCTTGTGACCCTTAATTTGATCCTTGTGACCCTTATTTAAACCTTTAATCTGACCCTTGTTACCCTTATCTAGACCCTTAATTTGACCCTTGTGACTCTTAACCTGACCCATGACCCTTAATCTGGCCCTCATAACCCTTATTTTCACCCTCGTGATCCTTATTTAATCCTTATGACCCTTATTCTGACCCTCATGATCACTATTTTAGCCCCCGTGACCTTTATTCTGACCCTTATGACCCACATTTTGACCCTTGTGACCCTTAATTTTGAAGTCTTAATTTCGAGTACCAAATTTTAATCCCCAGAAGTCGATTTGGATTTTTATAATATAGAGAAATAGGTTCTGCGATATTCGGCTGTGAAAATGGAAATTCCGTGAAATCATTTCATATTCGATTTAAACAATTAATTAACAAACAATTCCTCAATTGACTAAAACAGTTATTGTTGCCTTCATCAACAACATTTGAGGATAGAAAAATTCAATAACATATGAGAGTGGAATAAATTAAGTCATTTAGAATTTTCTCCGGAAATCCATAAGGACTAACTTTTGGCTGGTATTGTCTTGAGATATGCCTTAAAATTTTTCTCTAAACCCTAATCTCCGGATCATCATGAGCGATATTTAGTTTTCGCCGTTGCCCACGACAAATACACGCAATACTTTTCTATTGGATGAAGAGTGGTTTCTTCCTCTCTCCTCAACTACAACCCACTGAATTGTCCCAGAGAACAGGCTCCAGTCTCAACCAATCCAGA